AAAAGCATAACATTGCTGTAGTTTTTAATGGTAAATTTATTGCATATATTTATCTGGTATTGCCATTTAACTTCATGAAATGTATGTAAAAAATTACAATATAATTTCAATAAAGATCAAAAGAAAAATCTTTGACATTTCTAATTAATTTTTTTACCAATTTTTAATTATTATATCATTCTTTATCTAATCAGTTTATTGAGATATTATATTAGAATCACAATTTTATCAATTTTGAAATGTTTTATGTTTAAAAAACACCTTGTTTTTTGTCTTTGTTTTCTTTTTCTTGATATTCTTGTCAGTTTGAAGAAGATACAATTCCAGTATCTGACTTTTGTTTATAAAAGTACACTATACTTCAGAAGTATTATTTCTTCATATATTTTATCACATTACATAAAAGGTACCTCTTAATGTATGTTTTTCTTATTAATTGAAGTAGAGTAATCAGTTTGTCTGCCTAGTCAGGTACAATTTTGTGATAAAGATAATTCTCAGTTACCAATGTCTCTGAGTATATTTTAGTAATAAAGTTAATTCCTAGTTACCAATTCCTCTGTGTATATTTTTTTTACAGTGATATTCCCCTAATGAAGTCAGTCTTTGATCACAGGTCAACTTGCCCAACCCCAAAAAGTAGTATATTTTGACCACTTTTTTCATCTCATGAGAGGTCACCCTTTTATGAGGCCAACATTTTAGTACAGAGGAATGGGGACAAAAGGGGAACCACCAGAACATGTTTAGATCTTATCCCAACCAGACTACAGCTCATACTTGAGTATATCAGCTGAGGATTATGGAAGAGGTATTAGTTAATATTTCACAAAAACCAATGGAAATCATTGTGAAAAATCAGATCAAGAAGCAAATTGAGCTAAAAATAGTTTAATGCTGATGAACTATAAACCTTGTTTCTCTTAATACACACTGGTTCCACACAATGAAGCACACTGTATAATAACCCCTCTTAAAACAGTGGTATCCACATAGTCAAGTACATTATACTACTGCCTTTCTTAAAACACAGTGGTCCCATTGTATAAAACACATTATACCACTGCCTTTCTTAAAACACAGTGGTCCCACTGTTTAAAACTTATTATACCACTGCCTTTCTTAAAATCCAGTGGTCCCACTGTTTAAAACTTATTATACCACTGCCTTTCTTAAAACCCAGTGGTCCCACTGTTTAAAACTTGTTATACCATTGCCTTTCTTAAAACCCAGTGGTCTCACTGTTTAAAACATTATACCATTGCCTTTCTTAAAACCCAGTGGTCCCACTGTTTAAAACTTATTAGACCATTGCCTTTCTTAAAACACAGTGTATCACTGTTTAAAACTTATTATACCACTGCCTTTCTTAAAACCCAGTGGTCCCACTGTTTAAAACTTATTATACCATTGCCTTTCTTAAAACCCAGTGGTCCCACTGTTTAAAACATTATACCACTGCCCCTTTTGTAACTCAGCTGTACACACACAATTTAAGCACATTATAGCATTGCTATTTTTATAGCACAGTGCTCCTCCCAAGTCATGCACAATATACCACTGACCCTCTTAATACACAGTGATCTCACACAGTCAAGCATGTTATATCACTGTCCCTCTTATAACATAAGGACCCCACAAAGTCAAGCACATTATACTGCTACCTTATTATAACACAGTAGTCCCACACAATCAAGCTTATTATACCACTGACCCTTGTATAACACAGTAGTCCAACACAATCAAGCTTATTATATCACTGCCCCTCGTATAACACTAGTCCGACACAATCAAGCTTATACCACGCTCTTTGTATAATACAGTAGTCCCACGCAATCAAGCTTATTATACCACTGACCCTTTTATAACACAGTAGTCCCACACAATCAAGCTTATTATACCACTGACCCTTGTATAACACAGTAATCCCATGCAATCAAGCTTATTATACCACTGCCCCTTGTATAACACAGTAGTCCCACACAATCAAGCACATTATACTATTGTCTCTCTTAATACACAGATCATGGATCCCATTCACTTGGCAAAATTTTTGTTTCATCATAGCTATTTAACTTCTTTCACTTTATTTATATTCATGGGTTATAAAGACCAATGATATTGTGACTTCACATTTTTAATTATTCTATTTTTGTGTTTTCATTGCATTATAAGAACAGTCATGTTGGAACATACTCATACCTCCTTTTAAGGTAGCCTCACTTACGTTATATACACGGCAAATATATGGAAAGAAAAATCCACAAACAACCTTTGGAACATCAAAAAGCATCACTGGGGAGGTGCATCCTTATACAGAGCAAATCACCAAGATGCTATAGTATTTTATTACATTATGATTTAATTGTACGTGCTTGATCTGGCTGTTTAGTCCATATTTCCTTGTCACACACTCAGGTTTGAACTACTTAGTTGATTTTTGTGATGTAAATGTAAATATATATTTTAGATGGAGTGAATCAAACTTTTATAAATTCATATAGTAAAGATAAAAATATTTACAAAGCATAAAAATTGTGTATGTAATAAATACAAAACTGCATTTATGTTTTGTACTCAACTGGGAGAAAAAACAAATTTGATATGTATATAAATACATCTTAGCCAGACAGCCTTGATGTATCCCTTCACCATATTAAACTAATTGTTTCTGCCAACTCAACAAAACATGTATGCAATTTTGTTTATTGCTACTCATGTATAGGATATAAAAACCTGACCCATTTATATATCCTGAAGGATAGCCTCTGGGGGGGAAAAGAGGAATACAAAACCAAACCATTTGAGTATTATAATGAAGAAATGGTGTTGAAAGACCTTTGTCAAGCTATAAGAGTATTTCTTTTTTTTTTGAATATTTTGACAGTGTATAGATCATGAGACAGGACAGGCCTATATTTGTACTCTCTGTAACAAATGCTCTTTATATAGCACATGACACAGTAGGGACCGTGGGGCAGGCTAGAACTGTATATGTCGTCTCTGTAGCACATGACATGGTTGGGATCATGCAAAAATATAGGCTGATATATGACCTCTCTGAAGCCCATAACTGAGTTATGATCTATAGACAGGCTAGGTCCATATATGTCCTTTGTGTAGTACATGACACAGTTGAGATGGTGGGACAGGATTAGCCTATATATGTCCTCTTCCTAACAAATCGCATGGTTGGAGTGGTGCAATAGAGAAGGTATAGATATGTTTTCTCTGTAGCCCCAATCTGAGCTGGGATCATGGACAGGCAATGTCTATATATATCCTCTCTGTAGCACATGATACGGTTGGGATCATGAGAATGTCTAGGCCTATATATGTCCTATCCCTAACACATGACAGGTGGGTTTGTGGAGTAGTTAGGCATATGAATGTCTTCTCCACAGCATATGACACAGCTGGGATGAGAGAAAAGACTAGGTCTATATATATATATATATAGCACATGACACAGTTGGGTTCATGGTACAGGGTAGGCCTATGTATGTCCTTGCTATAACACATAACACAGTTGAATTTATGGGACAGGATTGGCCTATATGTGTCCTCTCTCTATAACATGACACAGTTGGGATTATAGGACAGGATAGGCCTATGTATGTCCTTGCTATAACACATAACACAGTTGAATTTATGGGACAGGATTGGCCTATATGTGTCCTCTCTCTATAACATGACACAGTTGGGATTATAGGACAGGATAGGCCTATGTATGTCCTCTGTAGCACATGACACAGTTGGCATCATGGGACAGGGTAGGGTTATATATGTCCTTGCTATAGCAAATGACACAGTTGGGTTCATGGGACAGGATAGGCCTATGTATGTCCTCTGTAGCACAGACACAGTTGGGCTCATGGGACAAGATAGGCCTATGTATGTATTTACTATAACACATGACAGTTGTCTTCATGGGACAATATAGGCCTTTGTATATCCTCAGTAGCACATGACACAGTTGAGCTCATGGGACAAGATAGGCCTATGTATGTATTTACTATAACACATGACAGTTGTGTTCATGGGACAATATAGGCCTTTATATGTCCTCAGTAGCACATGACACAGTTGGGCTCATGGGACAAGGTAGGTCTATGTATGTCCTTACTATAACACATGACAGTTGGGTTCATGGGACAATATAGGCCTTTGTATGTCCTCAGTAGCACATGACACAGTTGGGCTCATGGGACAAGATAGGTCTATGTATGTCCTTACTATAACACATGACAGTTGGGTTCATGGGACAATATAGGCCTTTGTATGTCCTCAGTAGCACATGACACAGTTGGGCTCATGGGACAAGATAGGCCTATGTATGTCCTTACTATAACACATGTCTTGTCAATGACATTCATTCTTATATAAACTGCTTGAAACAAACTTGGTCATTGTAGACAGACACTTGGTATGATGGTTTACCAAAGCAGAAGTACCTACATGACAGCTTTTGCAGTTTTTTGCAATGGTCCTAGCTATTTTGGAAATGATACATAAGGCTGCATTATTTATATGTCATACAAAGAAAATTGCCATAGATGATATGGCTAGACTTCAAAGTTGTGCTGCTGAAATGTCATATTACACCTTGGGAATGGTAATATATCAAATAAAAGATTCTTCTGTTACTGGTTTCTGAGAGAAAAATTAAATACAAAATTTAACACAAATGAAGCATGAAATGTGGGTCACAGTTTTGTCTGAAAATGTAATATTCCTTATGATAAATCTACAAATAAAGTTACACTCTTCTGGCAACAATTTCTGAGCTAAACTTATATGTTCAATAGAAGAAAATATTGTAGAGTTAACTACAGGGATTTTTTTTAAAGGGCTGCACTCATTTCCCCATCATCTCAGGATATTATACATGGCTATAGCAATTACATATGTTAGAGCACTGCTATTTGACAATGTCATATGATGTCACATTATATCATGTGAAATATTAAATCTTTTACTGCATTCTCCCACTGGAGGAAGCTATGGTAATTCAGTTGGTAGAATGTTTGACTCATAACCCAGGTGTAGCAGGTTTGATACCTGACTAGCCTTGCCCAAGTTGGCTGCCCCAGTGTTTCTTTGGAAAAGATACTTGGTTCAATTTCTCAGCATAATGTATCCAGTTATATATTATAAGTGTAATTAAAAACCAACAAAACAAAGCTCCCTTGGAAACTGATTGGCTACAGTGTTGACTGGTCAGGCAAAGTGCCTGTATCTTTGACTAGGACATTATACTTATTAGATGCTATAGAAGTAGTTGCATAGTATAAAGGCAATCATAAAATGACCACTCTAAGTGGCTAGAGCATCTGCTTTGGATGTGGGAGATCATGGGTTCAAATTCTGGTGAAGTCATACCAAAGACTTATAAAAATGATGCTAGCAGCTACCTCGCTTTACATTCAGCCTCATGTCAGGATAATGTGACAGTGGGATATGATACTACATGTCTGAAGCATGATGCCCCAGTGCTGGACATCACTATAAACTGCCACACTGCAGACATTGTAGTGATAAGGCTAAAATTATTTTAAAACAACATTAAAATCTAAATCGTACACACACACACACAATAATAAAACAATATGGTGTTGATGACTAAGGGAGAGAGATGGACAGACATCAAAGTAATTAGTTGTAGCAGCAATCTAGACATTGCATTGCAGTATCTAATTAGAACACATGTACATGCTTTTCCATTTAATAAATAGCTTACCTGTACTTTTGCCATGAATGAAATGTTATTGAGTTTGTATAGAAGCCTTTCAATATGTATTGGTATATTACTGAATTTATGGAAGGCTTTCATCCTATGTAGTGGTGTACTAGTAAGGAATATGATTATGACATACTTTCAAACAATGAAAAATGTATTTGATTATTATTTACAGCTTTATTTCCTATTTACAGATAATGTATACATACAAAATATTAATTATGATCATGAAACATATTTATCAACAAAAAAAACATCCAAAATTAAAGAAACAGAAATATTAATGTTTTATATTTATCACAGTCAATAAATCAATTTTAGGTATGTACAGTTGGTATAATTGACTCAAAAATCATCACATGTACTTTAAAAAAAGGTAAGTTTTACTGATTTAGATACATGACTGCTTTGGTGCATGCATTATTGTCATAAAATTGTCAATTTGTTGCACATAGTTAATTCATATTCCACTGACAGGTTAAAGACTGACTTCATACATGTATATATAGTTGAAATATAATTTTTGACATCACTATTATTCCATCAATTAAATGTAATAGGTTGGGAAAATAATTTCCGGAAGAAATATACCTTATCAACAGTATATCCTTGGAGATCAAAATCCAATAACTGTGAGGATTTTAAATGTGAATATCAGCACAAAAACTGTAATCAAACTAATTCAGTATATCAACAATAAAAACTATCCTAGGTAAATATCCATTGTCTTGTATTAAAAACTCTACTGGTAGCTTCAGTATTTCCTCCCACTATGTAATTGTTTCTAGGTAACCACTTTACAGAGAAAAACTCTAATTTTGTCTTGATAAGAATTAATCCAAACTAAAAAAAGTATTTCATTTTCCTGGCAGTAGACACAAAATGCATAATCACAATTCTCTCTACTTTTCACCTTAGGAACTAGTTGTAATGAAAAATCCATCCTCTCATGTCAAATGATCAGCACTTTACCTTATTCTGAAATTAAAGCAAAAGAAGAATAAGAATTCTCGTAAACACTCTACTTGCCAAGTATTAAAACTCTGTTGCAATGACATTTGTCTTCCTTTGTTGTATAAACATATCTTTGTATCATAATTAACTATAACAGTACTATATGCACTGATGTATCAACTGGACCCATCTGCAGACATGACATATCCTGATCTCCCATTGCATAGGCAACATGTTGATCTAGCTCTAGGCATTCTAGTGATTAGTCCGAATGAACTGCACTGACCCAGATCACATTATGTATTATGCATTGGTAGATCTTACTCTATACAGTTTTTAATTGGATCTGACATGCATACAAATATATGTGGTATACAGTGACAAAATGGGCCACTGTACCGACCACAAATATAATTGCTGGACAGGTGTTATCACTGTACCAACCAAAAATACAATGGCTGGACAGGTGTATATTATTATCTTTTATCTGGACTGGCAGACTCTTCAATACCTGCCAAATAAAGTAAAGAATTTCCATATTCCCTTACTGATGGGTGACTACAGATAATTAAAATGCATTTCACTGTTGTCTGTTCAAATTCACCTCAGAAATTCTATGATGCATTGAAACAATATTGATGTGTTCTTTAATACATAAATTTCCATAATGATGACAGGAGCTTTTCTCCAATACATGAATTTATGTAATGATGACAGGACTTCTTCTCCAATACTTGAGTTCACATCCTGATGACAGTACTTTTTCTCTAATTCATAAATTTACAGCCTGATGGCAGGACTTTTTCTCTAATAAATAAATTTACATACTAATGATAGGACCTCATTCCCAATACATGAATTTACATACTAATGATAGAACCTCATTCCCAATACATGAAATTACATACTAATGATAGGACCTCATTCCCAATACATGAATTTACATACTAATGATAGGACCTCATTCCCAATACATGAATTTACATACTAATGATAGGACCTCATTCCCAATACATGAATTTACATACTAATGATAGGACCTCATTCCCAATACATGAAATTACATACTAATGATAGGACCTCATTCCAATACATGAATTTACATACTACTGATAAAACCTCATTCCCAATACATGAATTTACATACTACTGATAGGACCTCATTCCCAATACATGAATTTACATAATGATGATAATACCTCATTTCCAATACATGAATTTACATAATGATGATAGGAACTCTTTTGCAATACATGAATTTTATTACTGTTAAAAACATGAAAAACCATGAAAATGATTACTCATGAAATACATTTTCAAGTCTGAGCAGTGCCGCTGAAAGTTTAAAACAATTTACAGCAATTATTTCAACTGATAAAGATTGAAATAAACCCACAAAGTCATCCAAATTCCCCAAACCCCAAAGTCATCCAAAGGCTCCAAAAGCCCAAAGTCATCCAAATGCCCCAAAACACCAAAGTCATCAAAATGCCCCCAAACCCCAAAGTCATCCAAATGCTCATGACTCAGGATATTGACATAATTGAAGAAATCTTATTCAAGATGCCAGGACAAACTTCTAAGTTGAAACAGGTTATAATTAAGATGGAACAAAACAGACATAAAACCTGAATAGTCTGCTTCATTTAAAACCATGGATTAGATTTGGTTTACATCCATGATATACTTGAAAAAACTTATCAAAGTGAATAGAAATTTGTTGTAAATGGTTACACATATGACAGACAGACATGGAAAGTACCATATCTTTGGCCCACTCCCCAAACCAAATGAATATAGCCTGAGGCACAAAAACAAAAATTGGCAATGAGGCCAGAGAAGTGACAAATTTGATATGAAGTGACAGCTGTGCCTTGTCCTTTACAGTACATATTTACAATTACATTTATGTGATGACAATTATGTCTTGCCCTTTGCAGCATGTATTGACAATTTCATTTACATGATGCCAGTTGTCTTGCCTTAAGCAGCACATACTGACAATTACATATATGTAATGACTGCTGTGTCTTGCCCATAGCAGCACATACTGACAATTTCATTTACATGATGCCAGTTGTCTTGCCCTAAGCAGCACATACTGACAATTACATATATGTAATGACTGCTGTGTCTTGCCCATAGCAGCACATACTGACAATTACAAATATGTAATGACTGCTGTGTCTTGCCCATAGCAGCACATATTGACAATTTCATTTACATGATGCCAGTTGTCTTGCCTTAAGCAGCACATACTGACAATTACATATATGTAATGACTGCTGTGTCTTGCACAGAGCAGCACATACTGACAATTACATATATGTAATGACTGCTGTGTCTTGCCCTAAGCAGCACATACTGACAATTACATATATGTAATGACTGCTGTGTCTTGCACATAGCAGCACATACTGACAATTACATATATGTAATGACTGCTGTGTTTTGCCCTAAGCAGCACATACTGACAATTACTTATATGTAATGACTGCTGTGTCTTGCACATAGCAGCACATATTGACAATTACATATACATGATGCCAGTTGTCTTGCCCTAAGCAGCACATACTGACAATTACATATATGTAATGACTGCTGTGTCTTGCCCATAGCAGCACATACTGACAATTACAAATATGTAATGACTGCTGTGTCTTGCCCATAGCAGCACATATTGACAATTTCATTTACATGATGCCAGTTGTCTTGCCTTAAGCAGCACATACTGACAATTACATATATGTAATGACTGCTGTGTCCTGCCCATAGCAGCACATATTGACAATTACATATACATGATGCCAGTTGTCTTGCCCTTTGCAGCACATACTGACAATAACATATATATAATGACTGCTATGTCTTGCCCATAGCAGCACATATTGATAACTACATATACATGATGCCAGTTGTCTTGCCCTTTGCAGCACATACTGACAATTACATATATGTAATGACTGCTGTGTCTTGCCCATAGCAGCACATACTGACAATTAAATATATGTAATGACTGCTGTGTCCTGCCCATAGCAGCACATATTGATAATTACATATACATGATGCCAGTTGTCTTGCCCTTTGCAGCACATACTGACAATTACATATATATAATGACTGCTGTGTCTTGCCCATAGCAGCACATATTGATAATTACATATACATGATGCCAGTTGTCTTGCCCATAGCAGCTCATATTGACAATTACATATACATGTGATAACAGCCATGTCTTGCCCTTTGCAGTACATATTAAAAGAAAGAAACTATAAGTTTGTGGGTCATGAATATCCCACCACAGTGCTTAAATTGACCCAAATGCAAAAAACATAGCCAAGGCAAAACTGATAGACAAAGGCAGTACTGGATGGCAAAATTT